GGCAGAGATTTCCTAACAGAGCAGCTTCCCAGGTTTAATTGCACTGAAACGTGAGCCGTCCGTCACAGAGCCATCGGTCTGTTTTTGTTCCGCTTGGTGATGTCCTCATCCTGAAAAATGTCCCTTTTATCCTATCCGTCCTTTTGACTTATGCAGTGGAAAAAGTGCACATTTCACTGTCTGACTGTACATTTCCTGCAGAGGTAATGGCTGCCATCTGTCCTGACCTGACACTCCACGTCATCAGCATCTGAGAGCACGGGCTGGTTTCCTTCAGCCAGACGCCCTCAGATGACACCAAATAAACGCTCCATCTTCTTTTCCAATGCAGATTCACTTTTATTATCCATGACCTCTTTAACCCACTGAAAGCTTTTCATTTGTCTCTCTGTGGGCGTTTTTAATGAGCTCAGTCTGGCTTTTCAGGATGATTGACTTCAGACGTTTTCTTACCGTTCAGAGTTAGACTCATTTCTTCACGTTTGTGTTTTGCTTCTTGTGTATTTTCTATCATCAAGGGATACCGATTTGAGCTTTCTGTCCCAAAGATTCAATGTCTTCCTTGGTCTTGTAATGTAATGAATGTAAATTGGACAAGTCAAAAATGTAGAGCACCTCAGGTCAGGTAATGCCTGCTAACTACCTCGATGAGAAATTCTTGTGTGGATAATATTTTTTTAATGAACAAGAAGAGAATTGGCTTCAGTTAATCAGAACTCAGTCTCTCTTGGACCATGTTGTGGATCTGTGACTTGATTTCTGGCCTCTTCTCTCCTGCTTTCCACCACAAGATCCTCACTAGCCCCCCATTCAGCCCGCTTTCAAAACTTCCTGGAAACACCTCTGCTCCGCAGTAAAATGATTTTGAATTTCACAAACGATTAGGGCTACATTTACTAACCACTGTTTACTACTTAAATTTCAAGTAGTAAACATAACTTTGAGCTTTACATCATGTCATTTCTTCATCAAAATCATATTTTTGAGTGTTGCCTTGATTTTTCCAGTCATGTTTGAGGAATCTAATCTCCCATGGCAAACATGCCTGTGTAGGACTTAGTCCCGCCTTTTGAGACAAAGTTCTTCCTTGGTTTTCAAGATTCCCTCACTCAGTTCCTGCAGACTAGCCAGGAGCAATTAGCAAACACCTGATGGAAGTGTGCATCTCCTGAGCTCATTACGCAAGCTGCCTCTTTGTGATGACTTCCTGAAGGCAACGTTTCAGGAAGAGGCGTTTTTAAAGAGACAGAGGCCCAATTTCATGGCGTTAAATCACAAAGTCAAAGTTCTTTTCAAGTCATATTTGACATCGTTTTTATAACAACTGAAGTTAACACAGTAACTTGATTGTGCTATAAAATTATTCTATATGGCTGGAAAACTCATCCATCCTTTTAATTCCCCTCAGTTATGCATCACTTTGTGCTGGTTCATTGCATAAAATCCCAGTACAAACACAATGTAGTCTTGGGGAGATGGTGGGGGGGGGGGAATGGAGTAATTTTTGCTAAACACTTACTACAACAGTCTGAATATTAAACCTTAAAGAGAACAAAAACACAGAGCTGAAGTGTGGAGTAAAAAAAAAATGAAAAAAAAAAAAAAAAAAACAGGGCAGAGTGTTTATTGGTTCTCAGTCTTCACACCAGGCAGCGCATCGCTCGGAGGAGAGGTCACAGCGCATCGCTCGGAGGAGAGGTCACAGCGCTCGCCGCGGCCGCGGCACAGGCAGACAGCGACACACGGAGTCAGGTGAAGGTCAAGCCGTCGTAGCCGTTCTTGGTAAACAGTGAATGAAACCCGACAGGTGGCACAGAGTCACATTGGTTCAAAGAATAAACTAACACTTCCTCGAGTCGAACGCCTTTTGCTCGACTGAACTCAGGTGAACGACGCAAAACGGGTAATACAGTGGAAGCTGTGCGTGTGCAGAGAGTATGGTCAGTTTAAAGGAAACCGTCTGGTGAAGCAGAGAAAAGTAAAGCCTGGCGCTTTACGCTCTACAGGGAGACCGATACGTGCAACTTCTACTCCTACACAAAACAAAAATGGATCTCATGTCAATGTCGGCTCAGCATCTACGACTGAAACGTCCCATAATTAATTTGACGCGTTTCCATTATGTTGACCATACGCTGTACAGAAGTGAATAATAATAATAATAAAAAAAAAAAACATGTAAACCCAGGTAACAGTGAGGGGAAAACGTCACAAAAGTGCTTGTCATGATCATTAAACTCAAATTCACAGATAACCCATAAAGCACTTATTTGCTCTGGTATAAAACTCAGTTACATAGGTTGTCATTTCATTTATCATTGTCAATTAGCTTCAGATAAAGCAAATGCAAAGAAAGGAAAGGTGATCGCCGTCAGGATGATGGGGATCCGTTCCCCCAGCTGCTTTTCTCCACAGTCCTCTCTGCAGGTTCTCACATTCTTCGCTTCGATTCTCATGCAGTCACTCGGTGCCTCACCGGCGCCGTCCGGTTAGGAAAACGGCCTCCAGCGTCCCCACGGTTAAATGCACTTTAACCTTCTTTGTCCCTTCGGGCCGAACCCATCTCCACAGTTTGTGGCACTGTCCCTCCAAAGCAGTCCCTTGTTCTGATCTGGTTCAGTTCCCACTTTCGAGTCCGCCTTTTCTTCACACGTCCAGCACAAAGCGAGCCGGCGTGGAGCCGTAGCGTCAGCCACTAGTCACACGGATGATTGGGTCAACTGGACGCCCCCCCCTCCCCCCCAACCGCTCAGCAGTGGCAGGCCGCCTCATCTGGCTTTGATTACATTGCTTAAAAAAAAAAAAAATTGAGAAGTATGAACAGGCACCGAAATCCTCTCTCTCTCTCTCTCCCACACACACACACACTTGCAGAGACACATTACACATGCCTTTCTTTGGCTTCCTCACTCATTCTTCCACAGGTTCGTCCACCATAACATCTCTTTCTCTCATTTTTTTTCCTAACCTGATCCTATCCATCCACATAATGTCTGACCTAAACAAAAGTGGCTATTCTGAACCATTAAACTGTACAGTATGCTGTGCTAAAGGACAGATTTTCTACATTGGGGTGCGTGTCTGTGACGTTGGAGAGGGGGGGGGGTTACCTCAGAGAGGAAGGACAGGAGGCAAGAGTTGGTTCTGAGATTTGCCTCCCACTAACCACCTGCTCTGCTCCAGCACTGGACCTCAGAGACGGGCCACACACGTGCCTGTACACAAATCAGCTCCTGCTAATACAGTACAGCGGTTAGAGTGGAGGGGTTAGGCTGTGTAAACATACTGGTGCATCTAAATAAATTACTATTCCACTGAAAACGTGGCTTATTTCAGTAATTCGGTGATGTATAAATCATATTATATAGATTTATTATGAACGGGCCGATAAGTGGCAGGCTTTTATTTCTGTTAATTTGAACAAACGTAGCTTCTAGCTAATGGACACGGTTGCTGCTCAGGTCGGGTAAGCCACACGAAGTTACTGCTAAAGAAGCTGGTTGTTCACAGGAGCATCCAGGCAGATTAAGGAAGGTTTAGTGGAAGAAAAAGAGTTTGGAAGCGATTCAGAAGATGTGCCTGACATTATTTTACAATTTCAATTGAAACAAGCCAACTTTTCGACAATTTTCTAATTTATCGAGATGCACCAGTACAATGTAAACTAACACCTGTTTGTAAAATGATTTGCCATTTCTGAATATCACTCCGCCCTCCTGTCCTCTACCAGGTTCTGCTCGTGTTTTCACATTAGGATTTCTGCGGCCCACAGACTTTAGCTGATAACCCTTCAATGTCTCGTCAACCTGAGGGGGGGAGGAGGGGAAGAAAAAAAAGAGGTGAGGCTGACGTCACTTGGCACTAATTGCCACCTACGAGGCTTCTTTTTCTCCACCCATGACGCCACTTCGTTAGGAGCCTAAAACTGAGCTGGGACTGGTTGAAGCGGACAAACAAAATCGATTTTTTTTTTCTGAAAATTTCCCACATCAATAATAATAAAGGGTTCAAAGAAAATATTCCAAAAGTAGAAAAAGAAAAAAAAAAAAGAAAAAAAAAACATTCGTATGTAACAGACAAACCCACGTTGCTGAGCAACAGTAATACTGTGAACTGCACCATCCCTCTCTCCCAGAAAAAAACAAACAACAAAAACATATACCGAACAACAAAGAAAAAAAAAAAATACAGACTCTATATGGCTCTGAGTAGCTTCGAGTGTCTGCTCCAGAACGGAGGCTCCAACAAACCAAATGGGTCAGAGGGAAACAGAGGAGATAAAATCACGTGTCATTAGTTCTTGTTTCTTTCCCTCCTGGACTTTTCACAGCTTCAAGTCTTTAGTGTTTTGGATGCGCGAGTCCAGGAAACGCAGCATTTCCTCTCTGGTGAAAACATTGGAATAATAATAATTAATAAAAAAAAAAAAAAAAAAATGGAAAGCATCCGTCCAACCGCGAACTTAGCTTAGAATCTGGGTTTATCGTACCACTGTGGACCACAGACGAGATTTGTGAAAAATCTAAAGAAGCTCCACCCGCCCTGATGAAGTTGTACAAACATCTAGTAAATTCAGTAAATGACAGAAAAACAAGGGCAAGTTCTCCACTAAAAACTACACACACTCAGGAAAGGAGGGAATTGTTCCTGCAGAAGCTGGAGCCCTTACGTTCACACCGATGTGATAACAGGACATTTCGTGTGTGTGTTTCTCCGTGTGTGCGTGTGTGCGCGCGTGTGTGTGTGATCCAAGTAATCGTTAAGCAAAAACAAGCGACTAAAACTAACAATCAAGTAAAAATGGCTCTGGAACGTGTTCTGACCGAACAAAAGCTGGAAGAAGACGTGATTAAAATGAGCTCGCCTCTTCAGGAAGAATACAAATGAAGCTGCAGATGTTGAAGTCTGAGTGAGTGTGTGTGTGTGTGTGTGTGTGTGTTGGGGAGGGGCAAAGTGTAAGGGCTCCGCTGGAGTGCTGAACAAAAGACACAGAGAGCGAGTGGGAGTCGGGAGCAGTGGTGCAGGTCCTTGTTCAGTGGTCAGCACATCCAAAGCGGTCGCTTGTCTCCACACAGACCTGCGCTCACACACACAGACACAACTAGGAACTCTGGTTAAGGCAGTAGTGGCAGGTGAGGCTGCGGTGAGGTCGGAGGGGGGTGAGAGTCGGTCTGTCGGGGCTCATGGCAGTGAAAGCTTCCACTTCCTCGTCCTCCTCGCTTCCGTTTCCTCATCCCTCTCTTCCCACCGTCCACTCACTCAAATGACATCAGATTGGCTGGTACCTGCATTAAGAAACGATCATTTACAGAACGCACACCGTGTGTTTGTCTGCGACCCTGATGGTGTGCGGTTTTTTTTTTTTTTCTTACCTGTTGCCTATTGCTCTGACAGGCAGCACTAAGATGTTTGAACCAGAGCAAAGCGTTCATCCTGTTTCCTGCCTGGTACTTGTAGGTGTTACCTAGGCAACAGAGAGAGGGGAAAAAAAAAGAGAGTGTGAAATGAGGAGAGCCTCGTTTCCACCGGCGCTCTCAGCGGTCGGCGAAGACGGCTGAAGTGCTGCTCGACTTTCGGTGACCCAGCAAGATGAAAACAAAGCCACAGTGGATGCTACTCTAATGAAGAATGCCAGATTTGAAAGGTTTATATGAATTTATCCCCCTAAATAAAATCCAGTTTGACAAATCTTTGGCAAAAGTTCCCTAAATTGTACAGATGCCTATAAAAAGGTTTCACCCCCTTGGATATTTTACACTTTTATTGGCTTTACAAATCAGCACATTAATTTATTTGTCGATATTTTCAAGAAATCAGTTTTCGCTTTGACAATTGTTTTTGTCAAAAAAAAAAAAAAAAAAAAAAGCAGCCTAATTTTTTTAATTAAAATTTTTTTAAAA